TGCCCGGCCCAGCGCTGGTTAGGAAACATAACCATTGTGCATAATTAAATTAATATTACAATCAGCAAACAGCATTACTCTGGAGACAGAAAACTCTCCATAAGCTCTCAAAAATCCTCTCCCTCTTCATCCCCACACATGGAATAAAAGCAAAGAAAACAAGCCAGAGAGAAACGAGCAAAGGACACGCTCAGCGTGCTGGAACCGTCCAGTTCCAGCAAATCGCCTAATCTGAATTGGCTTATTAGTAACTGCTGTGGTTGATAGAGCCTTTCCTTTTTGCTTCTCATTTAGAGCTGAAGAATTCAGCATTTTCTCAAGCAATCATTCTGAATTATTCGTGAGAGGTTTCTGTACCAACAAGCCCAAGCTTGAGCCGTGCATCAAACCTTTCTCCGCCTGTGAACTTCCCCCTTGACTACAGCAATATCTGGACACTTTTTTTTCTAATAACAGGGAATTTCTATGATTTGATTTCGCCATTTCCCCAGGGCAAGGTGGGGCCAGCATCTGTGAATCAGCACTGAATCAGAAGATGAGTGAGAGGAATGGGTAACTTAACACTATAAATGCATTTCCCATTGCATCATCCCCCAAAAGCCGCTTACACACTGGGGAAACTGAGGAAGACCATCCTCCCCTGCTGCCAAAGGGCAAAGGCCGGTGGCGGCTGCGCTGCTCACACCTTCTTCAGGTCCTCGGGGCCGAAGGAGAGCGGCAGCAGCTCCTCCAGCTTCTTGACGATATAACTGCCATCTGCTTTGGTCAGGTAGATGTCCCAGTCCGTGCCGAACTGGAGGAGAAGAGGGGAGAGAAGTGCCTGATGCAAAGCCCGCACTTCTTCCTCAAATTACTCAAATAATCCTTTTTTTTTGCCAGGTTTACAGGGAGCATCCCCCTCTATTGCATGTATTTTGGGGCAGCTTTTCAGCATCACCTGCCCCGGGGTGTATTTTGGGCTCAGATCCTGCGTTTTTGCCACTCCCAGGGTGAGCCCGGGTGCCTCTGAACCTGTCAAATCCTGCCTTCGAGCCAAGCCCCGCGACCCATTAACCACCCAAAAACAGGCTGTGGGTGCCGGGGTGCCCGCGGGGAGGAGGGAGGCGAGAGCGGGACAGGCTCCGTGGGGAGCTCGGCTTTTGCAGGAAAACCCCTGGTTTCAAGCTTGGCAGAGCCAGAGTGACAGCTCCGGGGCCGAACTCTGCACCCGGCAGCTCCTGGAGGAATAAAACCCCCTGGGGAGGGCGAGTTAATGAGTTACCACCGGGCACAGGGAGGAATACCCCTTTCCCAGCGGATAGTGCAATTTGAGGAGCCTGGGGCTGGGAGCTGGGGGTTACAACCCCCCCATTTGCACCTCTGGGTGATTTGGGGGGAGATGCTGGGGGCCAGGGGGTGATGCCGGGGGTCAGGAGACGCAGGACCCCCACACGAGCTGTCACCTCTCTCATCACTTGTCTGCAGGCGCCGCAGGGCGTGATGAAGTGGTCCCCCATGTCACTGCCAAAGGAGAAGGGCACAGAGCTCAGTCTTGCACGGGGGAACACCTGCAGAAGACCTTCATGCACCAATAAATACCGAGCCACAGCAGATTTTCCCCCCAATTCCTCCAAAAAAACATGCAAAAACCTGCCTCCTCCCCAAAACACTCCGGCTGCTGCAGCAGAAGCTGCCCCTCAGGCACACCGGGGGTTTTCCCGCTGGCCCCTCATCCCGTCCCTTGCCGTGCCAGCTTCGGCGCGCCCTTACCTGGCGATGGCCATGGCCCTGAAGCTGGTGTGCCCCTCGGAGATGGCTTTCTGGATGGCGGTGCGCTCGGCACACACCCCCAGGCTGTAGCAGGCGTTCTCCACGTTGCACCCTGCGGGGAAGCCCCCAGCACCCACTCAGCCACCCCAAACACTGCCAGCTTCCCTCCGGGTGATTTTGGGGGGGAATTTGCAAAGAAAAGCCATTTTCCGTGCACTCTCGCCAACGCATTCCCCGCTTCCCCTATTTATTTCCCGTATTTTCCCATCTGCCACGATCTTTGGCTCGCTCTGGGGTGGCGGCTGCCAAGAAGCAGCCGGGGCAGGGGGGGACCAGCACCCTGTGCCGACCCCGCTGCACCCCCATGCGTGGCTAAAGGGTTGCAGGGGGGGACCCCAAAACCCAAGGGGGGGGTCGCACGGCCCCGGCTTACCGGAGAAGATCTCCCCGCCAGCGGTGAGCAGTCCGGGCGCTGCTTGCCACCCTCCATGCCTGCACCCGCCTGCCCTGCCTGCTGACGCCACGGTTAAATATTTCCTTGCCTGGAAAATAGGCCGGCCGGCCCCACCGGGATAACGCCCCGGCGCGCAGCCGAACCCCGGGAAGCATCCCTGCGGGCAGCCCTGACCCCCAAAGCATCAGGCTCGAGGGGTCCCGCGTCCCCTCCCTGCCCGCTGTCTCATTTTTTCCAATTTCTCCATTTTTTTTTTCCCCTCCTCCTTTCTCTGTCCCGGCAGAGCATTTTTTTCCACCGCCGCCTGGGTAGTTTTTTTCCTCCCCAGTTGAAAACTGGTTATGCGGCTCCACGGGAAAATGTCATTAAATCATTCCTGGAGGGGAGGAACAACAGCTCCTGATCAGTGAGATCAAAAGAAATAAATTAATTTGATTGAAAACATAAAAAATAATATCTATCTATCTATCTATCTATCTATCTATCTATCTATCTATCTATCTATCTCACATTTTCCCAGGTCTTTTAACTGCCAGGCAGCAGGGAAAGCTGGCTGAAGACAGAAGCGATAAAAGCCCGTTTTGGGATGCCCTTGTGCTGCTCGAGCCCAAATTCGGTTTGGCTAGTGCTTCCGTGGGAATCAGCCCACACGAGGTAAAGCGCTCCCAGGATGCCGGGCTGATCGGCAAATTGCTCTTTAATTAAAGACCTCTCTTTTTTTTCCCCGTGCTGGAGGAGCTTAATGCCCCATTTTCTGGCTGCAAGGACGGGTGTCACAGCGCCCATTGATTCCTCTCTGGGATTTTTGTCCAGTTTGCTGGATTTTGGGAGGATTTTGACCTTACCCGCCGGTTTTGTCAGCAAACCTTGGTGCTGCGTCGCTGCTGACGAGCCACGACAGGCTGGGACACGGCACCCGAATTGGCAGCAGGCTCTGGCATAGTATAAACACCGGGAGCTGAAAATGGAGCGTGGGGCAGCGAGAGGACCATAGGCACCCCAAGAAATCAAAGCCAGGACGCTGAGATCAGTATTGTCCCAGGGGATAACGGGGCGACCCACCTTCCTTGCACTGTGCAGGCGCTTGTTCACCCTGGAACCTAATGATGACAGTTAGTAACTTGCAAGGGCAGTCAGTGAAGGCAATAGGCAGCTAGAGGAGGGATTGGCAGCCCTGAATCAGCTCACAGCCCTTTTTTCAGCTTTCAAAGTGCAAATCCTGGTTGTTTTTCCATCTAAAAGGAGCCGCAGATGCTCCTGTGCCCCCCACCCCATTACATGGCATGATCCCCCCAAAACCTGGGAGAGAAAAGGAAAACCAGCCCCAGAGCAGCTGGTGGGAGGCATCGGGGGAGCAGACTGGAGCTGGGGGACCCCCCCTCCTAAATAATGTGGGTTCTATAAATAAATGAGCTTTCGGGGAGGGTTTAAACCTGCCCTGTCGATATGAACCCTGAGCAATTAAATAAAGAGTCCTCACCTCTGTCGATGAGGGCGAGAACAGAAATAACGAGAGAGAGAGGCCGGCCACCTCCCCGAAACCATCCTCATGCCGGGAGCAAACCACACACCCCGAGCTGCAGCAGAAAAGCCAAAAACCTCACAAACGCATGCATTTTTTTATTATTTTGGCTGCAAAAGCTTAGGAGGCTGCCGAGGCCGCAGCAGCGGTGCTGCCTGCCTGCGAAGCAGCTATTTTAAGGTTGCAGTTGCTTCGCTCGAACCATAGAAAAGCTGGGAAGCTGCCGGGAAATGGCTTCCCACTCCCTGCAGCACCCCGCTCGGGTTTTGCTCCCCGAAAGGACTAAAACTGAGGGTACACACTGTTATTTGACCCCTTTCTCCTCCCCATTTTTTAATCCCAAGGCAGCCAGAGCATCTTTGTGGGTCCCCGAGCCCGGGGCTCTCCCTACTGCACCAACGAGAAGCCCCAGGTGGTAAAAAAATGTGGAAATTAGGGTTTGAGCCGAAGGAGCTAAATCCTGAACAGCCTCAGGCTCCACTGCAGGGCTAAAATCTTGCAGGCATCCCACAGCGCTCCCCCAAAATCCCCCCCAGGCTGTGCTGCTCAGAAATGGCATTTCGTTTTCCCCGGAGAGAAGCCATCCCAGGGCCTCGGCCAGAGTTAAAAGCAACAGGTTAAAAGCCAAAAGCTCAGCCCAAGAGGGAGGACCTGGCTGGAAATAATGGGGAAAAATGGGGGTTCTGAAGCAAAAAATGCCAGCAGACCTGCAGGATCTGCAAACCCAGGCACACCCCCTCACGCAACGCTCAGGTTTGGGGGAAAAAATCCTCTTTTCTCGTGCCAGGGTCAGGAGCTGATGCCCAACCCTCCCAAAAATCATCCCCCTGGATCCTGCCCTAATTTCTCCCTACGCGGGTGGGCTTTGGTGCTGGGGGTCTGGCCGCTACATGGTGTGTCTTTATTTTATCAGCATCTTTATTTCCCTGCCCGAGCACGAAGTGAGCGCGCGTCCGGCGGCGTGCACGGCGGCGGGGGGCGTCCGCTGGCGGCTCCCCGCGTG